CTGCAGGAAGTGGGGCCAGCCATAAAGTGGCTGCTGCAGGAGGTGGGGCCAGACACAAAATGGCTGCTGCAAGAGGCGGGGCCAGCCACAAAATGGCTGCTGCAAGAGGCGGGGCCAGCCACAAAATGGCTGCCGCAGCCTACCTTCAGTCCCACAGTGAAGACCCTTGAGTTGCGGTAGTAGCTGCTGCCAAAGTTTTTAAACATCTGCACAGCCAAGGAAACCTCCAGTGGCCCATCAAAAGCACTGCTGGGCAAAAGGCCCACCTGGCGCGCCCACTTTCTAAGAACCCTTCGTAGGCGCTAGCAAAAATGTTTACGGGCACCAGTGCTCCCTCTAAGCTGTGGAGTCTTGTGAGCAAAAATTCGACTGTGTGACCAACTGGCATTAAAGTTGTGAGCGAGTGATCTGGCTGCTGCAGAAATTGGTTTGCTCTGGAGCAGAGATGTAAAATTTCCGGAAGACAAAAATGTGTGAGCCAGAGGCTAGAAAACTGTGAGCTAGCTCACACTAACTCAGCTTAGAGGGATCACTGACGGGCACTACCCTAAGAGCTAGAGGGATAAAGGCCAGGGCATTGCGGCAGGGGAGGGGGGATTAGAAAAGAGACAGGTGGCAGCACAAAGGATTCTGGGAAGCTGTTCCAGACCGGGGGGGGGGGGGAGGAGCTATAGGGAACAGGCAGCGTCACCCAAGACTGTTTCTCCTCTGCCATCCACCTTTCAAATCCGAGCCCTGCATACGGCTGTTTGTCCTCTCAAACCCACAATGTCCGTGAAATTACTGACCTCAATGTCCACCGCAGACGATGTCTGGATGCACAAGAGGCAGATCATGCTGCAGAGAAGAAAAAGGAGGTTAATTTTCTTTCTTAAAAAAAAAGAAAGATAAGAAACAAGTTCTCCCCCACTTAATTTCTAACAAGCCTGCCCAGTCTGAGCGTCTTCCCCAGCCGCAGAAGCCCAGCCGTCATGGCCTCTTTCTCCACCACAACGGTTCACTCCTGCTTCCCTTCTGCTATTTCGGCTGAAGCCGCTCCGTGTACCACGCGCATAATTGCAGCATTCACACTGACATAGGCAGAAGCCCGTTTCCTACGGAAAGGCCGGACCAGCAATTTAAGACCAAACGGGAGCGGCTTCGGAAGGCCCAGAAGGCCGGTCTTACTGGACCATGTCGGCGACGTAGTCGTCCAGGTAGCAGCTGTTGAACTTGACCAGGTTGACCAGCACGAGCAGGAACTCTGACGTCAAACCCACGTCCATCCACTGGAGGACAAATTCGGCTGCGGGGGAAGGAAAGAGAGGGTGACGGCGCAGCAGTCTGGGAGTGAAATCCAAAGGATTCCACCAATCACCACCACCAATCACAGAATCAAAGAATCACAGAGTTGGAAGGGGGCCCTATGGGCCATCTAGTCCAGCTTCCTGCTCAGTGCAGGATCAGCCTAGAGCAGTGATGGCGGACCTTTTAGAGACCGAGTGCCCAAACTGCGACCCAAAACCCACTTATTGATCGCAAAGGGCCAACACGGAAATTTAACCTGAATACTGAGGTTTTACTTTAGAAAAAACAACTCATACGTTAACTTAAGATGATCCAAACAAAGTAAGGAAAGCAATCCCAAATGCTTTCATTGACTTAAAATTATTTGGCAGAGAATTCGGCACTTTAATGATGGTCTAGGCCTGGCTGGGGCGATGGCACGCGTGCCCACAGAGAGGGCTCTGAGTGCCACCTCTGGCCCCCGTGCCATAGGTTCGCCACCACTGGCCAAGAGCATCCCTGACCAGTGTCTGTCCAGCTGCTGCTTGAAGACTGCCAGGGAGGGGGAGCTCACCACCTCCCTGGGCAGCTGATTCCACTGTGGCACAACTCTGACTGTCAAAAAGTGTTTCCTAATATCCAGCCCTTAATTGAAACCCATTCTTGCGAGTCCTCTCCTCTGCTGCCAACCAGAACAGCTCCCTGCCCTCCTCTAAGTGACAGCTCTTCCAATACGTCAAGAGAGCAGTCCTGTCCCCCTTCAGACTCTTCTCCAGACTGAACATTCCCAGGTCCCTCAGCCTTTCCTCACAGGGCTTCTTGGTCTCCAGGCCCCCGATCCTCCTCCCTGCTTTCCTCTGCACCCGCTCCATTCTGTCCACATCCTGTCCAGAATTGCACACAATATTCCAGGGGCAGCCTGACCAATGCAGTGTACAGCAGGACTATGACATCTTCCTGTTTGGATTTCATACCTCTGTTGATACAACCCAGGATTGCATTGGCCTTTTTTGCCGCTGCATCACACTGGCTGCTCCTATTTAACTTTTGGTCCACCCGTACCCCAAGATCATGTTTACACACTCTGCTACCCAGAAGTGTATCCCCCATCCAGTATGCGTGCTCCGCATTTTTGTGACCCAGATGTAGAACTCGGCACTTATCCTTGTTAAATTGCGTCTTGTTCACATCCGCCCGGTTTTCCAGTGTGTTCGGATCTCGTTGAATTCTATCTCTATCTGCTGGTGTGTTTGCGGCTCCCCCCACCACAGCCTCTAGGTGCAAAGAATTCACCACTGCCACCGCCAATCAGTCAGTGACCGAAGGAGGAGGAGGCATACCCAGTTCCTCTTCCAAATACGTGATGTATCTTCCGTTATCCGTAAGGGCCTTGAAGACCTCGAGCCGCTCGTGCAGGTCTTCGTTGGAAGGGTAGTCCTTGATCACTTTAAAGAAGTGGGCGCGAAGAATCCCCAGCCGCTCTCCCTGCGAGATGAAAGGACGGCTGCCTTAAAAGGGGCGGGGTGGGGCCCACTGACCTCTAAGAACTGCACTTCCCAGGAGCCCAGATATAGTTTCTAGCAGGGGTCATTTCGTAGAAAAAGAGGTGCAGGAGCTCATTAGCATAACTCATTAGCATAACTTATTAGCATATGCCACACCCCCTGACCTCACTGGAAGTGTGTCAGAAGGCAACCCCCATCACTCAGGCTCCACTGGACTCTTTTGGATTGTTAGCTATGGGGGAGGGGGACGTGCAGATCTGTCCTCACAGAGGAGGGAGAGCTTGTACCTGAATAAACCTTGGTCTTAAAGGTGCCACTGGACTGTTTTGGGCCGGGGGGCTGGGGGGGGGGCTCTGCAACTTACCTGGCTGCTTCTTGCTCTGACTGAGGGCTGCTGGGAGCAGGGGGTGGGGCTTGTTGCATGTGCCCGCCCCCCGGGCTCTTTACTGCTGGAGCTCCGCTCCTGTGCGCTCCTGCAGGAAATGACCCCTGGTTTCTAGGCTCTGCCCTGCTCAGGTGTGTTTTTAAGCCAGGGGGCTCCGGTTGTTTTGAGCCTGTGGTCGCCTCTGGGCTTCTGACACTGGGCGACGGCCTCAACCACAAAACACCAATCACAACTTCCCTCCTAGAGGGAACACCAATCACAACTCCTAAAATGGTGCCCTGATGTTAGACAATTAAAGGCAGAAAGGGCTAGATCCCATCACGGATTCCAGATTGTAAGTACCCTACCTCGGGTAAACCAAGGCGGTTATCATTATGTGCCCTTGAAAACTGAAGACCATGGAACAGATGGTAACCCGGGCTCTTTTTGTAGCAGGTACTCATTTGCATATTAAGCGACACCCCCCCTAATGTAGCCAATCCTCCAAGAGCTTACAGTAGCTCCTGTAAGAAGAGCTCTGTAAGCTCTTGGAGGATTGGCTACATCCGACGTCCGCTGCCTCACCCAGAAGCCTGGCGGAAGAGCTCCGTCTTTCAGGCCCAGCAGAACCGTAAAAGCTCTGTCACAGAAGGAGCGACCAGCGACAAAATGGCTGCCAACGTTTATTTTCAGTCACACAGCGAAAATCCTTGTGCCATGTTGGTGGCGGCGTCTGCCGAAGTGGCGTTTTTCAAGATCTGCACAGCCAATTAAATCTCCGACAGCCAATCGGAAGCCTTGCTTGGGAACAGCCCCACCTGACCTCTGCCCGCTTTCTACGAACACTCCATGGGTGGCAGGAAAAGGATCAGTGGGCGCTGTGGGGAGCCAGTTTGGTGTCGCCGTTAGAAGCGCAGAGTCTAACCTGGGATTCTAATCTGGGAGAACCGGGTTTGATTCCCCACTCCTCCACATGCAGCCAGCTAGGTGACCTTGGGTCAGTCACAAGTTCTCTCAGGGCTGTGTTCTCTCCAGGGCAGTCCTCGAGAGAGCTCTCTCAGGCCCACCTCCCTCACAGGGTGTCTGTTGTGGGCAGGGGAAGGGAAAGGGGATTGTAAACCGCTCTGAGGCTCCGAGTGAAGGGCAGGGTGTAAATCGAATATCATCTTCTTGCTGTTGTTCTAAGCCTTACCTGTCCTTGAATGATTGCTTTCAGCAGGTGCAGCACAGCGTGTCGGGCCTCAGGTGGTCGATCCGGCTGCAGCATGTCCGCGATGGCTTTCCAGATCGCTTCTACCGCGTGCTGAAGGAGGAAGGGTTATCCCACCTGCGCAACTCATTGTCGAATCGTGCTACTATGCCCCACACCTGATCTCTCGCCATCCTACCACAAACCCACCCCTGATCTCTCGCCATCCTACCAAAAAAACCCTACCACAATGCTCACCCAGCCACTCGCTCTGGGGGGCCAAGGGAAAGCCATTATTCCCCTAGGGTTGCCAGCCTCCAGGCAGGGCCTGGAGATCTCCCTCTATTACAACTGATCTGCAGGCGACAGAGATCATGTAAGTACGTAACTCATACTTACATATCATGATTTGATCTATCATCTGTTCAGAACCTAAAAAGGTTAGTCAAGAATAGAAGAGGGCCAACTCTAAAAATCTAATTATGAAACATACAAAAATATACATGCATTTATTAGACACAACTTAAAATGACAAATAAGGGCCCATTCATACCTCTGAGGAAGGCCTGTGAAGGCCGAAACGCGTTAGGTCTTTCATAACGCGTTTCGGCCTTCACAGGCCTTCCTCAGAGGTATGAATGGGCCCTTATTTGTCATTTTAAGTTGTGTCTAATAAATGCATGTATATTTTTGTATGTTTCATAATTAGATTTTTAGAGTTGGCCCTCTTCTATTCTTGACTAACCTTTTTAGGTTCTGAATTCTAGGTTTTGGGTTCGTTTTTTCCCCTTTCCCCCCCTTTTTTGTCCTTATTGATCTATCATCTGTACATCTTTAATGTGATGTCCATGAACTGAATTAATAGCTAAGGAATCCTCAAGAGGTTGCACTGTCATATAAAGCAGTGCAAAATTAATGTGGACAAGTTAGTTCGTGGAATGAAAGGGAATAGAAAGGCAGGCAGGCAGGCAAAGGGGGGTGGGGGGGACCGCTGTTGACACTGACCAGACTGTTTTTGAAACTGACAGAGATCAGTTCTGTCAGAGAAACTGACAGAGATCAGTTCTGTCAGAGAAACTGACAGAGATCAGTTCTGTCAGAGAAACTGACAGAGATCAGTTCTGTCAGAGAAACTGACAGAGATCAGTTCTGTCAGAGAAACTGACAGAGATCAGTTCTGTCAGAGAAACTGACAGAGATCAGTTCTGTCAGAGAAACTGACAGAGATCACCCCTCCCCCCCCCCAAATCTCCAGGTATTTCCCAACCCAGAGGTGAAACCCAAATAATGCCTGACAAGCACCAAACCAGTTATAGGTTTACAACTTTGTCTGGCTAGTGGAGGAAACAGAGACCAGGGTGCAAAGACTTGAAGCGATACATTCTAAACAATGTTTGGGTTTTCTGTCGTTCAAATAATAGCATCCCCTGACCCTCTAAGCCACATCCAGTTGGTTTCAGTCCCCTCCGTATTGAGGCAACAGAGGCCACAGTTGTTGGTTCAGTTCCACCATCTTCCCCCCCCTCCTTTCACGAGAAATATCCATGAGGGATGTGCTCTCTCAGGAAGTGGTGGCGGCTACAAGCACGGACGGCTTCAAAAGGGAATTAGATAAGCATATGGAGCAGAGGTCCATCAGTGGCTATTAGCCACAAGGTATAGATAGGAACTCTGGGGCAAGTGATGCTCTGTCTTCTTGGTGCTTGGGGGGGGTCAACAGTGGGAGGGCTTCTAATGTCCTGGCCCCACTGCTGGACCTCCTGATGGCACCTGGTATTTCTGGCCACTGTGTGATACAGAGTGTTGGACTGGATGGGCCTTTGGCCTGATCCAACATTGGCGTCTCTTATGTTCTTATGTGTATTTCTGCTCTTCTCCCCCTCAGTCCAATCGTAAGCCGCCTCGAGCAGGAGTCCAAAGAGGCAGCACGGAAATATTTTACATAAATAAATTAATCGCAGTCCTCCCCCTTCCAGCCGAGCCTTTGCCCTTTTGCGCCAACGTACCTCCTCGAACTTTTTCATTTTTGCGACCTCGCAGATCTGGCCGATGGTCCGTATCCGGTTGTTCAAGCCGCACTCTACGCTCAGTTCCTGGGAAGAAGCAGAACGGCGTTTAGACTTGCCCGATTTCACAGTGCCGCTCTCCAAGGGGTAAGCGAGACACGCAGCCCTGTTTCTTCGCGATCTCGGGTGAGGCAGAACCAGGTGGAGCCCTGCTTGGCCAAACCACCGTCACCCAAAGCCCTGACATCACGGCTCTGTCCCACAAGAGGCCTTGTGGACACCAGACATTCGGGGCTTCTGTTTTCTCTGCCTCCTGCTCCCGTAGCATTTTCCCTTTGTGGTTCTCAGGCTCTAACCCAGGGGTCCCCAACGTACCTGCCAACATTTTTCCTGGCACCCACCGAGTGTTTTTTAGAAAGCGGCCAGAACAAGGTGACGTTTCAGAAGGCCAGGCTTCTGAGTGACCTTTGGAGATTTGATTGGCCAGGCAGATTTTTAAAAACACTCGGGTGTTACATGAGCATATACGGCTAGACGTTGCCATGTAATTCTGGATGCATTGAGACAGTTTCACATATCTGTTTTGCATTGCCAATTTTACATAGATATACGTTTTAGATATTTATACCCTATTTTAGCCAGCATGACGGACCCTTCCTGATGCTTTAAAAGTGCACCGTCTTCTGCAACAGAGGAAGCTCCTCCACGTCAGCGACACTAAAAGTACCCAGCACGCAAAGAAGCGGCTCTGAATGTGCCCAGAAGAGGCTTTTTTATTAACAGAAACTCAAAGGAACATTACTAACATACTAACAGAGAATTTCATGTGACCGGATTAAAAAAAAGAAGTTTGACAACACACAGAAGAAGCCCAAGAAGATTAATTGGACATTACTAACAGTTTAATTTACCAGTTTATATATCACTCAGCTTTCTCTTTCTCCCACTGTCTACCCTTCCCATTTCTTCTTTTAAGCGAAATACCTCCCCTTTTTAGGGGAGTCAATAAAACCTTTATATAAAAAAAAAAGTGCACCGTCTTCTGAATGACTCCGCTACGGAAGTATCAGTGAAGGCAGCCATGTTTTTACAATCAGCTATAAAGCTATGTCAGGAAAAACTATCAAAACGAGCAACACTTTGTAACAGCTTGAAGTATCAGTGAAGGTAGCCATGTTTTTACAATCAGCTATAAAGCTATGTCAGGAAAAACTATCAAAACGAGCAACACTTTGTAACAACTTGCTTTATGTAACAGTATGTAATATTACGTAGTTTGCAAAATACTTGGTTTTATATGTATGGTTTTATATGTATATTTTTTTATAGTAATCCTCTTTTCAGGTATTGTTTTATGCCAATAAAGGCGAACTGATTGACTGATTGATAAAAATACTCATTCGGCATCAGTCAGTTCAGAGTCTCTGGCGACAACCAAGCATACAGAGGAGCAATGCTCCCTCTAAGCTGTGGAGTCTTGTGAGCAGAAATTCTACTTTGTGAGTTACTGGCATTTTTCTCCCTTTCTCACAATATAAGAACTCGTGGGCACTCAATGAAATTGCTGAGCGGTCGGGTTAGAACGGATAAAACGAAGTACTTATTCAACCAAAGAGTGATTAACACATGGAATTCACTGCCACAGGAGGAGGTGGTGGCGGCTACAAGCATGGACGGCTTCAAGAGGGAATTAGATAAGCATATGGAGCAGAGGTCCATCAGTGGCTATTAGCGACAAGGTATAGATAGGGGCTCTGGGGCAAGTGATGCTCTGTCTTCTTGGTGCTTGGGGGGGGGGTCAACAGTGGGAGGGCTTCTAATGTCCTGGCCCCACTGCTGGACCTCTGGATGGCACCTGGTATTTCTGGCCACTGTGTGACACAGAGTGTTGGACTGGATGGGCCTGGCAGGTCCTCTTATGTTCTTATGTCGGCCACCATAGCACAAGGATATCCACTGTGGGACTTAAGATAAGCTCTGGCAGCCATTTTGTGGTTGGCTCTGCCTCCAGCAGCAGCCATTTTGTAATTGTGCCCACCACACTGTGTCAGATATGGAGCGGGTGCAGAGGAGAGCGACGAGGGAGCCTGGAGACCAAGAAGCCCTGTGAGGAAAGGCTGAGGGACTTGGGAATGTTCAGTCTGGAGAAGAGGAGGCTGAGGGGGGACAGGATGGCTCTCTTGAGGTATTTGAAGGGCTGTGTCACTTAGAGGAGGGCAGGGAGCTGTTCCTGTGGGCAGCAGCAGAGAGGACTTGCAAGAATGGGTCTAAATTAAGGGCGGGAAGGTCCCAGCGGTATCTCAGGGAAACCTTTTTGGCAGTCAGAGTTGTGCAACAGTGGAATCGGCTGCTGAGAGAGGTGGTGAGCTTCCCCTCCCTGCCAGTCTTCAAGCAGCGGCTGGACAAACACTGGTCAGGGATGCTCTAGGCCAGTGATGGCGAACGTTTTAGAGACCGAGTGCCCAAACTGCGACCCAAAACCCACTTATTTATCGCAAAGTGCCAACGCGGCAATTTAACCTGAATACTGAGGTTTTACTTTAGAAAAAACCACTCGTACATTAACTTAAGATGATCCAAACAAAGTGAGGAAAGCAATCCCAAATGTTTTCATTCACTTAAAATTATTTGGCAGAGAATTCGACACTTTAATGATGGTCTGGGCCTGGCTGGGGCGATGGCACGCGTGCCCGCAGAGAAGGCTCTGAGTGCCACCTCTGGCACCCGTGCCAGAGGTTCGCCACCACTGCTCTAGGCTGATCCTGCATTCAGCAGGGGCTTGGACTAGATGGCCTGTACGGCCCCTTCCAACTCTGTGATTCTCGGATTCTATGAATCCCAAAGGGGCCCGCCAGCGCGGAAAGGTCGCTGCTCTAACCCAACCCCAACGTTCTACCTTGAGTATCTCTGCCGTGATGATGAATTCCGTCTGCTTCCCTTCCGACGACTTGGAGTTGGGCCGGGATTGCCCGAACCCCAGGAGGTTTTTAAATTTCTCCTTTAAACCGGGATCTTTGCCCTGGAGTTTCGCCATCATCCACTAGGAACGCCCCGAGGGACCTGCGCAGAGAGAAGACGGTAAGCCGACAGGGCACACACGGACGAACAAGGCACGCTTCTCAATGCGGCTGCCTCAGTTCAGAGTCTCTGGAAACAACTAAGCATACAGAGGAGCAATGCTCCCTCTAAGCTGTGGAGTCTTGTGAGCAGAAATTCTACTTTGTGAGTTACTGGCATTAAAAGTTGTGAGCGAGCGATTTGGCTGCTGCATAAATTATTTTGCTCTGGAGCCCTCCTTCCTGAGCCGAGACAAAAAAAAGTGTGAGCTGGAGGCTAAAACACTGTGAGCTGGCTCACACGGACTCGGCTTAGAGGGAACACTGCAGAGGAGCCCCTTCCTGGTCACGGAGGATGCCCTACGCAAGCAACCCCCCTGCATACACCAAACTGCTCCCACGATAGCAATGCATGTTTCCTGGGAACTCCACACACCCACTGGAGCACCTGCCCAATTTCAGCTGAAGCCAAAATTCAGAAATGGTTGACTCGCCACTTACGGTATGAATTTACAGCACCCCAAGGCTTCTTTCCATTGCACTGGAGTAACTGGGCACAGTAAGAGACCACTCTGTGACAACTCATCCCACTGGCGCAACCATATCAAGACAAAGAAGTCTCTTGGGATCCTAAGGTACAATAAAGGTAAAGGTTTCCCTTGCTCGAAAGCCAGTCGAATCCGACTCTAGGGGGCGGTGCTCATCTCCACCTCCAAGCCGAAGAGCCAGCGCTGTCCAAAGACTTTTTCCGTGACCGTGTGGCCGGTGTGACTAAATGCCAAGGCGCACAGAAAGCTGTTACCTTCCCACCGAAGCCGTCCCTATCAATGTTCCCTCTAAGCTGTGGAGTCTGGTGAGCAAAAACTGTATTTTGTGAGCCACTGGCATTAAAGCTGTGAGCAAGCAATTTGGCTACTGCGTAAATTAGTTTGCTCTGGAGCCATCCCTTCCTGAGCTAAGACAAAAATGTGTGAGCTGGAGGCTAAAAACTGTGAGCTAGCTCACACTAACTCAGCTTAGAGGGAACACTGGTCCCTATTGATCTACTTGCAATTGCTTGCTTTCGGACTGCTAGGTTGGCAGGAGCTGGGGCCAGAGACGGGAGCTCACTCGGTCACACGGCACTCGGGTCTCAAACTGCTGAGCTACCGACCTTCCAGCTTGCAGCTCAGCATCTTAACCTCTGAGCCACCGCAGTCCCAAGGTACAGTAAGAATGACCCAATTTGACACACTTTGTGAAGCATATTAATAAGCTCTGACCAGGATGGCCCAAGCTAGCCTGATCCCATCATATCTGGAAAGCCAAGCAGGGTCGGCCCTGGTTAGTGTTTGGATGGGAGACCCACTGAGAAAGCCCAGGGTTGCTACGCAGAGGCAGGCAGTGGCAAACCACCTCTGTTCGTCTGCCCTGACCTGGATAGCCCAGGCTGGCCCGATCTCACCAGATCTCGGAAGCTAAGCAAGGTCAATATCAATCATTTGATTTTACAGTCCATGACCAGCATACACAAAGGTTTACATATTAAACAATCAAATTTCGCAACTTAAAAAATTTCACTCACGCTACCGTATGCGTTTCCCAATCTTTGTACACCTGTGCACAAAATTTAGCCACTATTTGGGTTGTTTCATTGTTCATATCGGACAGAAGATAATCAAGTTTAGTTTTGTGTGATCGGCCGGGGAGATTTCCGATCAGCGGCGCAATAAATTTCAACCAGCAGTGGGGAGGGTGGGGAAGGAATGGAAATCCGAACTGCAGCTTCTGGTCAGCTTCACTCCTCAGAATCAGAGAGTTGGAAGGGACCTCCATGGTTATCTAGTCCAACACAAACACACACACACACCCCACACAATGCAGGAAATCCACAAATACCTCCCCCTCCGCACCCGCAGTGACTGATGTTCCGCCTCCAGAAGATAACAAAAAACCTCCAGGATCCCCAGCCAAACTGGGGCGTGGAACATCGGTTCCCTCTAAACTGAGTCAGTGTGAGCCAGCTCACAGTTTTTTAGCCTCCAGCTCACCCATTTTTGTCTCGGCTCAGGAAGGAGGGCTCCAGAGCAAACTAATTTATGCCAGAACAAATTAATTTATGCAGTAGCCCAATGGCTCGCTCACAGGTTTCACACCAGTAGCTCACAAAGGAGAATTTTGGCTCCCGAGACTCCACGGCTTAGAAGGAGCATTGCCCCCTAACCCTTTAGTTAAGGAGCCCCCCTCCCTCAGGCAGCCAGATCCATGCAGGAGGAACCCCCCCTTTCATGCAAGCCCACTCCCCATCTCGCCCCACCCTTCAGGGTCCTCCAACCCTTTAGTTAAGGAGCCCCCCTCCCTCAGGCAGCCAGGTCCTTGCAGGAGGGACCCCACCTTTCATGCAAGCCCACTCCCTCCCCCCACCCTTCAGGGCCCCCAACCCTTTAGTTAAGGAGCCCCCACTTTCATACAAACCCACCCCCATCTCCCTCCACCTTTTAGAAGCCCCCAACCCCTTAGTTAAGGAGCCCCCTCCCTCAGGCAGCCAGGTCGTGAGAGGAGGAGGAGCCCCCCC